CAAAGGGCAACGTGCATAGATTTCTTATGCAGTGAACGTATTTGTGTGCTTCTGCATACTTGACCCAAATCCATGTCAAGTTACTTATTCATTCATACATACATACATACATACATACATACATATTTACATGCATATGTACGTACATAAGAAGTCAAGTGAATCAAGTCAAAATGTGAGTGTGGAAAAGTACTTGTGGGAGTTTACGCAAAACTATGTAATTGACTGTAAAAATTAGAGTAATTCCAGAGGTTTGCTGCGATGGCTTATAAACAAGCGAGAATGCGTGCAAAATGTATATAAGTACCTATGTACGTAAAATCACAATCGCATGATAACTACGCTTTGTAGGTATAAATTAGAAAAGTACTGAAAATAAATTTTATCTCTTTTTTACCAAATTTCACACACGTAATTATCATAGCATAAAGCATAAGGGGTATTCACGACCCCGTTCCAAACTGTCTAGCGCGCTGCATAGATAGCATGATTGTATAATTTTGTTGTTTCTTCAAGTGTTTAAGCAATAAAAAAAATTAGCCAATCATTCTATTTATGCTATCTATGCGCCATTCTAGACAGTATGCACCGGATCGGTAATACCCCTATAGTATGTAAGTGTGGAAAGCTCAGATGAGAAATTGAATAGGCTTCAAAACTACAAACTCAAAATCTTTCTATAGAATCGAATTAAAGAGCTCCAAATTTTTACATGCAAATGCAAAAAAAGTAAGTACATTAAGATTCCACAGTCGAATTTTGACAATTGAATTTTAATTTAGCTAATATTTTTCTGAGTAACCTCCAATAGGTACAAAAGCAGCATCCAACATCGTGCTGTTACCGTTACATTCCAGTTCTCAAATTTTGTTTAACAAAAAAACCCCTTGCATTTCTATTTCTTAAAATTTCTGTTACAGTTTTTACACTCACAAAATTGTTTACGTATTTAAATAACCTTCCGATGTGGACTCTGTTTAGTTTCGTTGGATTTCATTTACTCGAAGTACTTTTACACGTTTATAACGTTTGCCATTGAATCTACCATAATTTTGTTCTTAAGTGAAGGCCATATTCCAACTGAACATAAATAGCGGACTTAGGGTACAGGCCGTTACTGTGAATGGTTTTCGCTTCTAAGAGGATCCCCTTAGCCAACTAAATGATGAAGAAGCCCTATCTGGAAACTTTTTTCCCAATTTCGACCACAATTTTGGATTTCAGCCGCACTGTGTGTAGTAATAAATCTAAAAAATAATAAAAACTAATAGTTTTCACCCACTTTAATAAACAAGGTCGAAAAGAGAAAACAACAAGTAATTTTTAGCAAAAAAAAACCGACTTCAACTCTCATATAAAAAAAAAAAATATATATATATATATCTCATGATCCACTGATCGGATCTTAACTTAAAAAAAAAAAAATAATATTCCGACGAACTGATAACCTCCTCTTTTTTTGGAAGTCGGATAAAAATCATTGATTTTGCCTTTAAAGATCAGTTTTGAGGTGAAGTTAATTTTTCATTCAATTGCAGTTTTATGATGACCCATAAAAAGTAACATTTTTAATTTTTGAATTTTTTTACCTAAAAAATTCACTTTTTAAAAACAGTTAAATTTTTTTTTTCTATTCCTGGGACCATGCAAAGGGATTCATGGATGCAATATCAGCAAAAATAAGTGTTTCTAAATTGTAAAAAATTCATTGCTTAATAGTTTCCGGTCAAAAAAAGACAAAAAAAAAATATTTCCGGAGGTTTTTTTAGAGGTTTAGACAATTCTTTTATCCAACAAGATATTTTTTTCCATTCTCCATTTCAAAAGCTTTAAAATACCAATAAATTTTTTTCGCAATTTTTTCGCCTACTCAAGATATTTGATTTTGTCATTTTTTCCAAAATAGCACGCAGTGTGATGTTGAGCTTTGAAGAGCATAGGAATGGGCAAATTTCTTTACAAAGTTCCCACTTGTAGAGAAGTATACAACAAAAGAAGATCAGTCGAGTAAGTTGAAGCCAGTTTTACTTAACTCGTCCGAAACCACTTGTTGTCCGCTCGGAGAAGAAGCTCAAATTGGGGCACAGATTTTCAACAAACTAAATAAGAAAGATCTTAAGAAATGGGTCGTTCAAGATGAGAGTCAAAATATCATTTTGTATAAGCAAACGATATTTAGCCAAAAAAACAATTTTTACTTAAGATACTTTATGCTTTAAAAACGTTCTAGATTAATTCGTTTAAATTTCAAATTATGTATGTACATGTAAAGCAACAACACAGCTCGTATATGTTAACCGAGGTGAAACCAACTCGAATAACGATATCCGACTTTGTATAAGGTGCTGCCAAATTCAACTATGGCACAAGTGATCATGGAAAGTAATTGGAAAATTTTAAATTAATCTTCAAAATATTTGTACAAAATAAACCAAATGACAAATGTAATGGAAAATTTCAAATTAACCGTCAAAACATTTGTACAAAATAAACAAAAAAGTTAATAATAACACAATTTTCTAATTCTTTTATTGACCAACTAAACTTGCAGACGTTTATACTAAGAAGTAAAATTAGCTCTGTATGCATATGTTCAGGAAATAAATAAATAAAAATTAAAAATTCGTAAAGATTTTTTTAAATTTTGTATATGTTATGATTAAAAATTTATTATTTATTCATTTTCAAAAAAAATATCAGTTTTCCTTGTTTAGTTTTTGTAAATTTATAACGGTTTGCGCCAGTGGCTGATAGTCTTTTTGAAAAAATCATGTAACGCTGCAACGCATGCATTTAACGTATTATTGATGCCAGATAAATACATCAGAAGCTGCATTTACAGTTGAGTTAAAGCTATGTGGAGCACAATGCACACAGTACTTAAATGGCAATAGGAAAATCCAATTTGTATGTATGCTTGGGCTCCATGTAATTCACCATTTATTTCTGGCCCGCCATCATAGTATTGGCCATAAATAAATTTATAGATGCTTCCAAAAGATACTTCTTTATAGTTCTTGATAACTACATATCTTAACATCAAATAGGTGATAAAATTAAAAATTCAACTAACAAAATAATTAAAAAGTAGTATACCATCGGTAAGACACTCCTTGTCAAAATTATAAGAACATCACACATTGACAAGTTTACGTTTTTTTGTTATTTAGTTTTAGTCATTTTTATAAATATTTCTTAGAAGGATTTTTGAGTATACAGTTTTCAATTTAATTATAATAAAGTGCTTGTTTGACGCAGGGTTGGAAAACTTAATTTTTAAATTTTACTCAATGTGAGGGAAAAATTGTACCTATAAAAGCTTACTTAAGAAATATATAAAAAATTTGCTTAAGATGAATGCTCTCAAGGTAGGAGGGGTCTGTCGGCAATTGTTTAGTATGACTGGCAAAACTTTGAATAGGCTCAGAAGTTTTCTGGTAAAAAAGATTTTCCCACGTAGTGAATTACAATCAATTGGTGTGTTCGCACCGAATGTACCTTGAAATTGTAAATGTGGAGAAAAAAGTACAATTGTACTGATGATCTTTCTATATGAAAGAAGATGAGCAACACCTTCAACAAAAAAAAAAAAAAAAATGTGAAAAATCACCGGTACGTCCTAAATATTATTGTGTGAATAGAGCGCCATTTTTTGACAACGTAGTTTTGATGCCAACATTTCTGCGTGAGTCCAGTAGTCAATTTTTGATGTTTTTTTGGTCATTATGAAAACTTATCGGTTAATAGTTTGATTAATCGAACGGAAAATTTCGATACAATTAAATCGTTAACCGAATAAAAATAATAAAATAAATATGTCTTATTATAAACGTCAAGCTGACTTACTTCTGTAAATTTCTTTTCAGGTATAAATGCGGCAAAAACCCATCAACAACATAAAACTGCTCGAAAAACAACTTCCATCAAAATGAGGCAGTGAATTTTGAAATTCGAGATCAATATTCTCCGCGTTAGCTAAGCTAAATGTTAAAACTAACGAAACATTGGAGTTAAATGTGATTCAAGCCACAAAAAAAATTATCAAGTAAAATCATTCGCTTATAATAAGACCAGAAGCCGTAAGAGATCTTAATCTTCCGCAATATCAAATCCAGCCGCTTACTGTAATAAGAGCATCGGAGCGGAGCTAAATCTACAAACATAGAAAATGTGTAATGGTATGTGAGAAATAAATAGAGTGTGTAAGGACGTGAGCCTATTAGACGCGGAAAGAAGCGAACAAAGGCAACGTTCGAAATTAAAAAAAAAAATAGTGAAAGGCATCCGAAAAATCTTAACTGGTGAAAAAAGTTTCAAAACCACCTCCAATCAAAAAGGAAAAGTAAATCTAAGTGGATATTTAATGCGCACGAGTTCTCTAATTTCAAAAGCAACAATGAAACACAAAACGAAATCAAACTAAAATAATGAAAAGGGCAAAAAAAGTAAAAACCGAAATCAAAGTTGTGATTGAGAAATTTTTGCTGAGCTAAGCGAGATCAAACGGAACGCATCGTTATGATGCCGCTGTCAGCAAACACAGTCCACCGATACGGGTTGAATCCAAGGAATGCGCAACACACACAAATCGTAGCCTAACTAAGCGTTAATACAACAACAAGTGAAAACAATCGTAATAAGCGGAACAAGCCGAATCAGCGGGAAAATGTGTTGTGTGTAAAAAAAAAATAAAAATAAAAATAAAAAATTAAGAAATAAAATTAAAAAGTAAATATAGAATAAAAATAAATCTGAAACCACGTTACCAACGAAACTCTTTATAGTTAAGCTTTAAACTCAGCGCCAAAATTCCTTTGATTTCTAATAGAAAAAAGCTGACCTAAACAACAACTTATGTATATGTAAGACATAAAGGAAACGAAAAGAAAACGTTAACTAGAGCATGGAATTGAGTGAAGCGAGCTAAGCTGTTGAGCGGAGATTTTTGTTTGTACTTACATATACATACATATTTGATAGAGGCTGTTTGAGGGCTGTGTGAGTGTGTGCTTGTGAAAAATTTTTGTAAAATCAATGAAAGCAGAAAACAAAGGAAAAAATTCAGTGTAAATAAAAGGATTACAACAAGAGCAGAAGGAGTAGTGTAGTGTAAAAATAAAATAAAATCGCTACTACTACGTTGGCTAGTTTGTGAGAAAATAGCAACAAAAACTGGCTGCCGAAACAGCCAAAATAAAAGCAAGAATAGTAAAGAGACAAACAAGCAGAAAACAAAGACAGAAAAACGCTATATAAGACAAAGTGCAGCTGAAGTAGAAGACAAATAAAGAAGAGAGCACACGTTTGTGGTAAGTAAACTTGAAAATAAAGTCAACCAGAAGCCGGCAAAAATTTTTGGAAAACAATAAAGTAAAACTTGCATTAAAGTATTTACGAAACACATTTGCAAAACAAAAACACCAAACAACAATTTATGTTGAAAATTTGGTGAACCTTTGGCTTCTAAAAGTGCAAACTTTACAAATTCCTTTAGAAATTTATAAACGAAATGGAAAATTTACAAGCAGCATTAACCGGCATCTTTCAAGACTAGTTTTTATGAGGGGCTACTACGACTATCGGACTTAAAAAAAAATGTCCTCCCTCCTACAAAGTTAAGAAATGCAGAGAAATAAAAGAAAATACCTCAGCTTAAAAAGTTAGAAAAAAATGTCCTTCTGTTGTGACTTTTCAACCGTACAAATGGTGAAAATGAACAAAAAGAGAATTGACAAACGTAAGCTGTCAATAAAATCAGCAAAAGCAAATGAAAAAAAAAATCAGGTTAAGAGCAGTAAAGAAATCCCACAGAAATGCCACAATTGCGCCCACACACACATGTACAAGTAAACACACAAACTATAGGCTTAGCAAACAAACAAATTGAAGTGCTGGCCACTAAAGTCCGAAAAAATGCAGCTTGTGAACTTGCTGACACCAAAACCCGGGGAAGAGGAAATTAAGTAGGCGAACCCAAATAAAACCAAATCTCATGGATTTCACTCAAGTGTAGTTGTGTGCACACTCGGTTGCGTATATGTATCTATAAGTATGTATATGTGTACTTAGCTAAAAGAACTTACTCTGGCCGTACTTTTGCAATATTTTGCCACACACATTGACGGCATATGTATCTCCATTTAATGCACAAGCATTTGATTATAACAGCGAAATAATTGTATGTGTGTGAATGCCTTAAATGAATAAAAATGAAATTGAGAAAGCACTCAACTCGAATAGAGGTCATCTGGCGGCCGAGAGTCTACTTTTAGGCGCATTTTATGGTAATTTCAAATATGTAGCATAGCAACTGTATCCATTGTGTTCTCTTCAACTGGTAGGTGCATGTATTTTAGTATTGAGCAAGTTTATGGGTTATTCAATGGGCCATATTTTTAATGGATATTTAGTGAATGGATGACCGGCAGTATGCGCAAAAGAGAATCGATGCACTAAACTTGAATTTGACGTTAATTTTTATATAGTAATTCACAGGCATTTAGCGTTTTCATTTAATAATTCAAAATCGATCACCTCTTACTGCCAATTATTGAAAAAAGAAATTCTGTAGTGATTTCAACGTTATTGATTATTTCACTTAGTCAACGAGGTATCAGTCAATGGTAGCAAATGAAAATGAAGACATTATCTGTAATAGAAAAATCAGGTGGTTTCACTTAGTCTTTTTAATTGGCATCATTTAAATAGCACAAGACTGAAACGACTGGCATCCTACAGTTACCCAAACCCTCTTTAGTGGTTATAGCGCCAGACAAATGGACACCGCTTAAGAACCAACGCAAGCTTTAAATCGTTGATCGGCATAACTTACCCACTCAAATGATTCAATTCAATTGAAATGTGTGCTTTGAAAGCAATCCATCAAATATTTGAGGACCTGGTGGTCCACTAGGTCGTAGTTTTAAAGTATGTGCAAAGCCTGACCTGTGCTGACCTGGACCACTTCAGACGTAAAAAACTGATCGCATATTTTACTTTTTTCAACATTTATTGGCAGTGTAAATATCTACATGGTTAATTAAAAATTTGCATATAATTTTGCTTAATTTTCTGCCTATCGATATACGCGACATATGAGCGACTTTTTATTTTATGCAGAGAAAGTTAAAAGGAAGTAAATAACTAAATATCTGGCATGCTTTACAAATCGTACAATTTACAACACCTGTTTTTGCACTAAATCGATGAGTGTAGCATAAGTTATGTGTGCTTTCAGCAGTTTCCACTTGAAATATTTATTACTTATATTACAAATATCAAATCGCACCGAAACTGTGTACTATATAAAAATCGCTAACAAGAAAAAATTATATTTTCAAGCCGAAGGTCCCATTTAACTTTCGCCGCCACATATCGGCACAAAAAAGGCGCGAGCTTAAACGTTGACCGCGAAAGAAGGCGCACAAAAAAAACTTCAGCGAAGAAAGGCTCTTAACATAGTAGACGGCGAAGAAAGACGCGTAAACTTACTTTCGCGGTCAACTATGTTTGCGGGTGTAGCAGTATGTTGATTCCCCAAAGAAATTTGGGGCCCAAAGAGATTTGGGGAATGATGCTGAAGTGACAGTCCTTGTGGTCAAGTATAAATCTGTAATCACGCGTCTTTCTTCGCCGAAGTTTTTCTTAAGCGCCTTTTTTCGTAAACTTTTTTTACGCATCTTTTTTCGTCGTCGAAACACTATCGCGCCTTTATTCGTGTCTAGTGACGATATGTGTGTATGTACAAAGTCAATTCCATTTGAAAAGTTTGAAAATTCATTTTCAAATCTTTGTTAGAAACGTGCTATGAAAGATATTTCGCGGAAAAATAAATCAAACATTTGTATTGTTTTATGAAAACCTGAATTGGTAAGCATTTCCATTATGAAAGGCATGTCTAAACCGGAAAACATAATTCAAAACATTCGTCATCGGCTGTGAAATCTGGATACTTCCACTATCTGGTCACATTTTGGTCCTCTTTGTTTCATTTTTTTTTTCTAGGAACGGTTATGCAAATTTCATAGCTTTAAATTTTTTCTTAGATGTTGTGTTAGAGGATATCTTTACTTCCGCCATTAGAAGACTGAGCTATTAAAACCTTCCTCTATAGTTTGTGTACAAATAATTTTCTTATTTTCAACGAGTTGATATATTTTGTCAAATGCTTTATTTAACTGTAAGTGAATGAATCGCACTCAAATTAATAATTAAACTTTTTAATACATTTTTGTATTTGTTGCAATTTATGTGAACAATAGAAATCACACGTTTGTCTTTTTTTTTAATGAACATAACTAATAACTGAACTCCGCTTTAGTAGCGTTGAATTTTGTGTGTATAACATTTATAAAAGTGAAGTATAACGGAACAGTAATAAAAAATATGTTGCTACGGTTTAAAGGAATGTAAATGTTATCTTTGGAAACATTATTTAAAAGGCAAAAAATCCTTCAAAGTCCTAAATATTTCTTTAAGCCGAATTTAAAGTTAAAAAAAAAATTTATAAAAATCGGTCATTCGTTGTCAAAACAGTATTTTTTCTAATATAGCCGTTGTGCTAAATATCTAGTCAACCTTGGTTTCCCTATGCTTTCTGTATTTTTTTTTTCTTTTTTCTTTAGTTTTAAATTTAACGCACAGGTCAGCATATCTAGCAGATAAACAACGGTTTTGTACATACTTTTTCTATGGAAAAAAAGTATTTCAAATGTTTTTTAGGCGATTCAGTGCAATAATAATTCTAAACTGAGAGCTAAGCATTTTTTCTAAGACTACGCATATTTATAACTTGCAATTATTGAGTATTAGATAAAATTTGTTTAAAGAGAAAATAATGTTATTTTTTATAAAAATACAATTGAGAGATTAATTTATGTATTCACTTCCAGCAATGCGATGTGCACTTAATTAGCAAACATTTTACTAATAATTCATCAACGCAAGAATAAACACTTATCTTTTACTAGCAAAAAAATACTATCCAATTCGCTTATATGTATGTATTAAATGCATCTAGGATTAGTGATGCCCAAGTACAAGAAACTTAATTTGAAAAATTTCTAATTAAACAAAAGCAACACCATTGCGTATACTTAACGTCAGTTGTGCTTTTACCTATTAAAGTTATTTACGTAAGTACACTTGTCGTTAGCTGATTAAGTCAAGTGACAGTTTGACTAGTTTTGGCTACTTTTATTTTGTGTATTTAATGTTTATATTTTTTTACAAAAAGTTTAGCACTTTGTCTAACCAGCGCCACATAAATCCAAATTTCAATTTTCGTACAAAAATTATGAAAATTCAACAAACTTGTAACTTTTTATTCAGAAATTTGGGAAAAATTTTGGGTATGCAGTTTTGTAGCTCATTAAATTTTAGTAAGGTGAAGAGCAAATTTCATGACGCTAGAAAATCGCGTTTATTTTTAATAACTAATATTACTATTACTACTAAGCTGAGAAAAAATCACAAAAATTCCATCACGTAAATTTTGCGAGAATATTCCTGAAATCATTTTCCTTAGTGTTAACTCAAATTACAAGCGTTAATTTCGAGCTGTCATAAAATTCTTCCTGATGTACTTAGTCTCTTTTGGTGTATTTTCGAAGAATGCTGTTGTTTTTACTTGGAAAGAGGAAGAAGTTTAATTTCAAAAGCCTCCGCTATTATTACCGAAAGCCAGCTACATAATTACCATCGACACTTTTTTGCTTTGATTAATCAAACAACTAAGCATGTCATTAAATTTCCTATAGAAATACGTAAACATATAACTAATTATAACATCAAAACTATTCAAAGCGCTGGGTGATTAAATTTTTCATAACAAATGGCTTAATTACTGCAAAACAAAGCTGACACTTGACTTAACAAATAGAAGTATTTTGCATATTTATTTCCAAGTTGAAAGGAAATAAATTACGTTCAAGTGGACAGCCATTTTAATTTGTTTGCATTTCTCCTCTTTTCTGTTTTAATTTTTTATTTTTTTTTGCCCAAACTATTTGGTACTCCAAAAACCCAATGACCTGACTAATGCTGAGTAGCTAAATACTAAGTAGGCTAAAGTTTATAAGGATAACAGAGAAAACCGATGCAAAAGCGAGCAGCAAAAAATAGTTAAAATCACACAGCAACAAACTAATGCTGGAACTGTAAATGAAATAAGAGTTACAAAACGAGAGCAGAAAAGACATTTCATTTATGTGCATTTCCCTTTTGGGAGATTTCCAAATAAACTACAAGCTGCAAGCCAATTTGAGTGCGGCAGCAGGGATGGAGGCGGG